TGTTTTCTCTATAAAAAATTCTCTGTAAAATACATTCTCTATAATTGTTTTCTCTATAAAATCATTCTCTGTAAAATTATTCTCTATAAAATCATTCTCTATAAATGACATTCTCTATAATTGTTTTCTCTGTAAAATACATTCTCTATAAAATAGTTCTCTATAAAATAATTCTATATAATCGACATTCTCTATAAATGACATTCTCTATAATTGTTTTCTCTGTAAAAGTTTCTCTATAATTGTTTACTCTGTAATGGTTTCTCTGTAATTTGGCGATACCGTACGTATCGAAAGGGGGGGGGGCAAATTCCCTCCAAGCCAAAAAGTACAGATGCCAGCTATTATATTTTTCAAAAATATAAGAGATTTCTATATCTTTTCTATAAAATATTATTTATGATATATTTTTTAATGAAGATGCACAAAATTATATTATAGATATTCCGCTGATTTTTAATGAAAAAATAATAAAAATTCAAAAAAAATTTATATGAGAATTTATTCGAAAGAACGAAAAGATAGAGGTATTGACATTTTTTTATTATTTTTTTACAAAAAAACTAACATTTATAAATATTATTTATTATTCGAATATATTGAATATTTTTTTTATTATTCGAATATTTGTGATATTAATATAAAATTATTCAAATAAAAATAATAACAAACGAATAACAGAAAAAATGATTCGATTTGAATATATTAAATCTAAAATATATGAATATTATTCTAATTCCAGGGTGGGTCTATTTATCGTTCGGATAACCACATAAAAAATCATTTATTATTCAAATAACGCTCGGCTTACTGATCATAAATTATTTTGAAATTTATTTTTTATATATGGCAAAAAAATATTTAAATTTTCATTATTACAATAATTGTATAAATCGTTTTATTTTTCATTATATATTTGATTGGTCATTCCAAGAAAATAAAATTCTATTAAAAGAAAAAATATCCTGTATAATTTTTTTAGCCATAACAGTATTTACACCTTGTTTTTCCGGCAAATATTTTCTTATATTGTATTTTGACGCGTGCATAATAAATGAGTATTAAATTTAAATATTTCCCGAATATTTTACTATAGCCTTTTCTTGCTAACTTTAATATTTATTACATTTTTAAAAATATAGCATGCAAAAGGGAAAAAAAGTATGGTAGGTGGTCATATCATAATCTCCATGCAAATATATTGGTCCTAAAAATATAGAATATTCGTTTGTTTTATATCTCTAACTGCTATATGTTTACTATATCAGTAAGGTATAGATCACCCAAATTAAAGGTTTCATCAACGCCTAATATACAGAAATCAGATTGGTTTGACAAAATCTTAATAATATTAATAACGGTGTTTTGTCTTTGATATGAATGATTGATTGGATAAATGGCGAAATATGTAGATCATTTGTGATATGTAAAATTTTATCCGATAAATTTAGAGGTACTTTTGTATCTTTTTTATGCTAATAATTTAAGTTATAAATTTGTTTTAAATTTTAAGGTTTAATAGGGTCTTTTTGAAATATATAATTATTATAAATATTGCGACATGTTTGTCCTTTATTTGATTCTTAATGTTCGATAATAACTAATTTAATGTCCATACATAAATTTACAAAGGGACCGGGTCATTGTACTATATATTCTACTAAATATTTATCTTCACCATCATAATTAGACTTATTCTACTAATTATATATCTTTAACATCATAATTAGGGTTTTCAATAAAATTAATTTTTAAAATGCGGCGTTTATTATACTCTTTACTTCACTTTAATACACTATAGTATTTATAAAGAACAATTATATTTTTGGCTAAATGTTGAGGTTCTATTTTTTAAAAAATTCTTGAACCACCTAGGCGAGTGTCCTGAATAAGCCATCTTTAAAAATATATGGACTTTTATCATTATATATATCAGAGACCTACAGGTCCGGCCCTAAGTCCAAAACCAAATATTTGAAATCGCCATTATTAGCTGTAAAAATCACAAATAAATAAAATATATTTTTAAAAAATCCGGGCCGGGCCTGAAATTTTTTTTAAAAAACAGACCCGGGCCGGGCCGGAAAAAATATTTGAAAAAAAATCCGAACCGGGCCTAGCTGTACCTCTGCAAGTCACTGATATATATCATAATATAATTTTCTTGATTTTGAACCTATCCATGGCCTACAATCATTTATATATACATTTTTAATCTTATAATTTGTAAAAATTAATTATACAGGATATTTTTTCTTTTAATGGGATTTTATTTTCTCGGAATGACCAAATATATAATGAAAAATTAAAAGATTTATACAATTATTGTAATAATGAAAATTTAATATATTTTTGCCATATATAAAAAATAAATTTCACAAAGCAATTTATGAACATGTTTACATTCCCCTAAAAAATAAAATAATAAAATGTTTATGGACAAATAACAACTGCGAATCTATGAATCAAAATCATATATAAACTGAAAACAACGTCCTTTAAAAGAATTAATCGAAAAAATGATATCATAATTAATGTTATAAGGAAAATAATTTAAAAGATCTGTCTCAGGAAAAAGAAAATATTTTTTAAATAATGAATATCGCAATTATTTAATACCCGAATCGATAGATTGTCAATAATTTACTCAATAGTCAAAGCTAAGATAAATTACATTCATTAGATAAAACTTTATCTGTTTTAAAACCAAAAGGCTGAAAAAACCACATCAGCGACGTAGAATTAAAGCAGAAAGGTCTCGAAAACATATTTTTTATAAATTTTAATTCCTTATTTTTTTCCAATTTTCTCCTGCTTACATATATTTCTAGAATATTGAATATATTTCGTCAATATATATAATTTTATTACCCTAAATTTATATTTAAATTTTCTCTACCGAACAAATTATATTTTATGAACGCAATAATTATATTATAGCAACATTATTATATCAATTTGGTAAAAATAATTATGATTTTTATGCATCAATATAACGAATTACTATCAGGGATGTGAACCCGGACCCGGACCCTGAACCCTCCTGGACCCTCGTATTTTGGCTGAACCGAACCCAGACCCTTTTAAAAAGTGGAGGGTCCAAGGGTTCAGGGTGTTAAAAATTTTTAACTTTAAATTTTATAATTTTATTAATTTTTAAAAAATAATATAAAATTTTTATAATTTTATTAATTTTTAGAAAATAATTTAAAATTTTTAAAAAATAATGTAAAATTTTTATAATTTTATTAATTTTTTTCGTGGAATCTCCCTAAAAAATAGTCACTTTAAAACTATAATTGATAAAGCAAGGGATGTTGTAAAATATTTAAGAATTCCCACAATTGTTAGAATATTAAAATCCATGAAAATATAAATGGCAATTTTAGATTGCACAACACGTTGGTCCTCTATATGTATGATGCTAGAGCGATTATTAAGTTTGAAAGATTTCTGTAATGATTTTATCACAGGAGCATGTGAAATCATTTTGTCAGAAGATGATTGGAATCAAGTAAAAGAGCTTACTAGTGTGTTGGTTCCTTTAAAAATAACAACATTACGAGTGCAAGCAGAACAATTATGTTTATCAGATTTTTATGGCATATGGTTAAGATGTCGATTAGAGTTAGGGAGATTAACAAGTTCTTTTTCAAATGAAGTATTAGAAAATACGAAAATAAGAGAGCAACAATATTTACAAAATAGTGTTGTATATGCTTCGATATATTTAGACCCGCGATATCAGGTTTTATTAAGTAGTGAGCAAAAACAAATGGCTATAGACCATCTTGAAGATTTATGGCATACCCAAAACTCTATTATTTACAATACATTGGTGGTTACAACAATATCTACTGGTTGTAGCGATAACATTGATAATGATAACGATATTGATGATCTGGAAATTTTAATATTAGATAGATAAAAAAAATATTAAATTATCATCTGATAGAAAGGAGCAAAAAATATCTATTTTATCTTTAATAGAAAAGTTCTCGGAAGTTATGAGAATAAATAGAGATGCAAACATTTTAAAATTCTGGGAGGAAAATTCTTCAAATATACCTTTTCTAGAATCGTCATGGCTGTACCGGCGACACAAGTAAAATAATTTATGTATTATAAAAATGACTATCTATTTTAGGTAAGCGTAGAACGTGGATTTTCATCGTTGACTAATTTACGTGGAAATCTGAAGGATGATATTTTAGGAGATATCATGATTGTGCGATTGAATAAAATATTTAAAATATAAATTATCTCATTTCGAATTTTAAATGTGTATATATTGATGTATAATAAAAAATGAATGAAAAAAAGTCTTATTTTGAGTCATTATTTTTATGTTTCCTCTGAACCCGGACCCGAACCCTGGACCCGGGTCCTTTTTATTATTACCGGACCCGAACCCGGACCCTTTTTTTTTGTCGAAGGGTTCACATCCCTGATTACTATCGTTATTAATTTATTTGATTAATAAAAATTGCAAAATTTAAAAAGGACTACTAATTTTTTTTATATAGATAATGCTATAAAAATCATAAATATTTTAGTCAATGATAGAATATGGAAAAATTTATTAAACACATTCAAAAATATTTTTTTATATTTTATGTAAAAATTAAAAATATTTAAAGACGTTATCTAGCGGATAGAATATTTTTTTTTAGAAATAAAAAGGTTGAGTAAATTTAATTTTATAAATGTAATGAAGCTAAAATATATAATAGATAATCTTTAATACCTGTCCAAACATTTATTTTATTTATAAAAACTAATTAATCTCAATTAATAATAGGAAAGTGAAAGCCAATGCGAATAGCCGAGCGATATTTAGTAATAAATAATTTATTATGTGGTTAACCGATCGACATTTTCCAGCCGAGCGATATTTAGTATTAAATGATTTGTTTACTCTGATTAAATTAAATTAATATAAAATGGGGTCTTAATTAAATTAAATAAAATGGGGTCTAATTTATTATATTCTAATAAACTTCATTGTGTGGTAGGCCTGCTGCTGAAAATATAGGTATTTTTTGACCTCTTGCAATGGAATTCATAACATCAATTGCAGATATTCCTGTCTGAATCATTTCCTCAGGATATATTCTAGACCAAGGATTTATAGGTTGACCTATGAAATATGTATATTTATATAAATTTTATGAAGATTGTTATTTAATCTTATATTTTAATGCAATATATATTATTAAAATTCTATATAGTAAATTATATTTATCAGTGATGTTACTTAAGTGGGGAGGGAAGATGGGCTGCTGCCATTAGGGCTGCCATGAATTTTAAAGAACCCTCTCAAAATTTAAAAACACAAATCTTAAAGCAAAAAATAAAAAGATGTGTTAATTTTAACTAGGGCTGTGCCGACTCACAAATTTTTTACCGATTCGATCAGATAACAGATTCGATCAGATATTACTATAAAACAGATTCGATAACCTATATTTGATTTTTATTTTTGTGAATGATTAAGTGTATTTTGTTTTCTTATTCTCTAAAATTTAATCATCTCATATAAAATATACGTAATTTTTATAGCTGAAGGGGGAATTAATTTTTTTTGGAGCATTAAGAATTTATTAGAACTTATCATATATATAACTACTCATCATATAAAATTTATTAAAATTAATCATATTTGAAAATATAATAATTTCGAACACAAAATTGGAAAATTCAAAATATTTATAGAGAATATAATGCGGTTAAAAAATATTATAGCTATATAAACCGATTAAATCACAATAAAATATAAAAGTAAACATTTTATAAGGATTTAAAACTTATAAATATACTGTATTTCCTTGAGGATTATCTACAAAAAATGAATTTTTCATTCATACCATTTAAGTTCTGAAATTAATTGACCTTCATATACATTTATATCCAATCAATAAAATTTAGCTAAATATAAAATTCCTCAATATCAAGATTTGATATTTCCTCAGAACAGAGGGAGTTATAAAATGTAGCATTTGTAAATTGGATAGACCATTTGATAAATAACAAAAATGTCAAAATTAAATCCAAAAGTGGAATAAAAACGTTTATTTTATAATAATCCTCAAATGAGTCCACGTTAATATTGGGACGATTTGTTTTTCGGTAAAAGTCGACGTTTATGAATCTTAAAATCATATAATTTCACTTTCATCACATTCACAATCATCTAACTATAGAGAAATTCCTAGTCGATATTTCTTTTGGTTTTCTAAGTTGTAATATAATAACATTCGCGATTCTCATAACTTCAGCCAAATTCATTTTTTTGAAAAATATTGCATAAATTGTATAATAAATAATTCATTAATATATTCCAATGAAAAAAAATCATATTAAATCTTATAAATAATTATCATTGAAATTAGTACAATATTACCTTATTATATATTTAAACCCGCTTCAGATGTAATATCTGTTTTAGGTAATTCTGATATTTTCCAAGGGCATACAAAAAAAACTCTTCTAGATCTAAAAAAATGCTGTAACTGCTTGATGTCGAAGGCTCCATCTTGTCGGGTAGGATTCTTGCAGTTTCTTATTTCCAGTAACACAAGAAGTTTCAGAAATAATTATATTTAGCAAATTTTGCCTATTTGAATATCTGAACGTTTCATACACTCTATAAATTTTATCATAGTTATTAATAGATATAAATTAAATATAATTTTTTTTGGCTGGTAAAATTTTTTTATATAAATTAGTGTTTTAGGTTTAAAAATGTAAGAAAATAAACTTTTCTCAAAAATTTGCTACGGGGCGGGATTTCTCCGCCTCTCTTCCCAAGCTGGCTACGCGTCTGAGCTTATGGCGTGGAAAATAAGAGCCAAAATAATATTATCTAAGCCTCAAAATTTAGCCAATAGATATTCAAACCTTTCTATCACCTATGAGCAAAATCTCCAAACTTAGGTAATTATCTTGAGTTATCGTTTTCAAAAATAGGTCAAATCGTTAATAACACTAGTGTGACTCGTAAGATATGCTTAAATTCTTGTTGCAGATAATATAACAAATAATATTAAATTTTTAGCCACATTATCTTTTAAAATATTTCGATTTTTTTTAAGCATTACAAATAAATTGAATTTTGATTAATTATTATATTATTATTAAATTATGTATTAAATTAAAAATAATATATAATAATCACAAAATAACCAAAAAACGCTAAATATCAACACCGATCCAAGCTCTAATATCGGCACAGCCCTAGTTTTAACAATAATTTTATTTATATATATGTAAACCTGTATAATTGGACCAAAATTTTTGCCCAACGATAGTTGCTTAGTAAGACTTTTTACTTTCTAATAGTAATTAATAGGGTTTAATTGGGATTCCAAATTTTAGCCAAATAAGGGAGTTGCCCGAATTATCAAGAACCCAAATTAAGCAAATTATTGTAGATATTTAATTTTAGAAAAATTAAGGCATTACCTTGAATATCTAAGTATTCTTCAGCTAGTATTGATGGACCTTTATCAATAGGTTTCCCAGATCCATTAAAAACTCTACCTAAATATTTAAAATTAATTTAAAATAAATTAACTATATAATATTTTAATGCAATAGTAATAGAACTGTAGGACTGCTATAATAACAATACAATACTATTGTATTGTTGGTAATGATTTCAAACTATTGTAATATTTATTAAGGTAGTGTTGTTAAACATCTCGATTTATCCAATTTTTAAAAAAATATTTAAATCAAGATTTTCACCAAAATAATATTATCTGAGCTTCAAGTCGCTGATAGATGTTCAAAACTTTGTACCACATGTGAGAAAAATATTCAGGTTGGCGTAATATTAATTTAGCTAAAATTTTGAGTTAACTGTTTTTAAAAATTGGCTAAATCGAGCCGTTTAACAACACAGGTTTAAACAATATTTTCTCTACAAACAACTCAGAGAAAAATTAAAATCATCATTTTTTATTATTATTATTACCATCAATTTCAAAAAGGGTGTGAACTGGATGATTTACTTTTATTATAACAGTTTTTAGAGTCAGCATTATTTAAGTTTTGATTTTCTATGTTTAAATTCAAATATGATATCACAAATTAATAATTGATACGAATATATTTCCATAGATACAAAAATATTGCTATCACAGATGCTAAAATTATATAATAAATGTATATATGAAATCGAGGTATTATTTAATCCTTCTAAGGTAATCATGATTAGGCCAATAATTGTACTAATATATTTTGGAGAAAATTCAAAACAAAAATATCACATTTGGTAAATTATACATGTATAAGGAAATATATTAGTGTTATCTAGGGAGTAACGCCAAAAATTCAGTAAATAAATAGAAAAATATTATATATTTGTATTAATTAGTGTTGTAAACGAACGCGTTCAAGAAGTTGGTTTTTTTGAAAAAAAATGACGAACACGTTCGACTTAACGTTCGTTCAATTTTAAAAACCTTTTTATTTTTATTTATTTGAAAATTTAATATTAAGAATTTTTTAAGAAAACAGTCATATTTTATAATCAACTGTTTTGTGCTTTTTCACATTTCAATTTTTTTTAACACGCCATTATTATAGTTTATTAATTTGAATATTATTGTGTCTATTTTAATTTAATAGATTAGCATAAACATGGATATTATTATTTCATCATCATCATTTAATTCTGGTTCAAAATCAGATGAATTAACATTACCATGGCCAAATATGATAAATATTTTACAGTAACATCCTATATTGAAGGAACTAATTCAATACTTACCGAATGTAAAATGTGCCCAAAAAGTATTATATCAGTTCAAAATCTTCAAGTTTCAATTTAAACCGACATTTCATTATTAATTATTTTATTTTATATAATCTAATTAAGTAAAATCATTAAATTTGAATATAAAATGCATTTGGGCTATTTCACCCCAACAATAATGATAGTGATTTTAAAATTAAAAAAAAATTTATGGCCTAAACCAGGGTCAATCATTGGTAGATGCAGTATTAAATGGGATTAATAAAAGGTATTAAACCTATTACTATCAAATTAATTACATATATTTTTTTAAAAGATTTGAACATATATATGAAGATCAATATGTTCTCTCAGCAATTATATATCCAATATTCAAGCTTCAATGGCCATGGTATTTCCACAGAACCCACTTATAGCGTTACTAAAAAAGTGCATTAAAAACCCTAGAAATGATAATGCAAGAACTGTTAATTTCGAAGAATTCATTTTTTTGACGACGAAGTATAGGATGGATTGGAGAAGGATAACTTACTTTTTTTAAAGATAGGGATAAAACAAATGTTTTTAATAAATTCCCCACGTTAAAAGAGTTGTTTATTGTATAATACCGCAATCCCCTTATCTGCCCCTGTAGAGCGCGTTTTTAGTGTATCTGCCGTATTAACTGCCAAGCGTTCCTGTCTATGAGATGAAAATTTTGAAAAACAATTGTTATAAAAATTAATAAGAAAATTGTTTATAAATAAAAATATCTTTTTAATCGCTATATTATATTGTATTTATAATTATATTATCAAAATAAAACTATATTATTTTTTAACATGGCTAATATATATTTTTCTTTTTAGCTTTCACCTTTTCTGGTGGTAAACTCCTTCAATATCTCTCTCCACTTTATTAATCATGCTAACTATTTTCATCTAATTTATATTTCTGTATTTTTATCAATTCCATTTGTTCTCCCACAGGAGTATCGCTATCGAGGCCATTGTATCTTGATTTCACATCGAACTATCAAAACATCGACAGATATCCCACCCAGAGTTGTTAAAGTTGGTAGCTATAGCTAATAGCGGCTACTTTTTTTGTAATTATTTAATTTTTTAGAGCGCTACTTTTTTAAAAAATATAATGAAGGTAAATATACATGAAAATTTAAATATAATGTCATAATTATAATTTTTATGATTCATTATTTAATTTTGAAATTGAAATATATTTTCAATTTGTAATTTATATCATTTGTATTATAAACCTAAATCACGTGTTAATAATTTAAAATGTCATCACATACCAGGGAAGAAAATGTTCAATAGCTATAATACAAATTTCCCATTCCCTAGATTTTAAAATTTTTTTTAAATAAATATAAAAACCAAAACTGGTTTCAAATTTATTAGCTTAAAATGTAAAAAAAATATTTCCTCAAATCAATCCAGTTATAACCTCAAGAAACACCAATAGGTAAATTGTCATTTTTACATTCTAATAGTTTTATTTTATGAGACTGTTCATGCCAATAATTTTAAGGAAATGGAGAAACATCTAAATTTTGGTATAGGCGACTCTACATCCTAATTCAATTCAAACTAAATAATAATACAAATAACAATATTTCTCAGAAATTGGCTGATAGTTATTGTTGATTTTATAATTGATACAGTTAAGCCAATGTCCTTGGTTGATAATCCATCATTTACCATGATGATTAAAAATATATCCACTGGTACAACAATTTTATGTAGCCAAACACTAATGAATAAAATAGCAGATAACTTTAAAGTGATGAAAGATGCTCTAATAGCAGAGATATCTTATATATGTACCACAATAAATTGGACACATAACACAAGGTAAAAACTTATAAAATGCAACAAATTACCATAAATATTTATTTTTATTACATAAATTTTTTTATAATCAAAACTAACTATATTTTAATATTTATAAATGTTGATTTTTATATATTTACTATACAATAACATTAAAAGCAAAAAATAAAACAAATCTGTTTCTAAATTTTTTTATAAAAAGTAGCTAAAGCTACTTTTAAAAAATAGTAGCTAATAGCTCGCTAGTTTTTTTAACAAATAGCGATAGCTGTAGCGCGTTAATTTTTTTGAAAAATAGCGAAAGCGCGCTACTTTTAAAAGTAGCGATTAACAACTTTGATCCCATCGGAGTTCTCTTATCGATTCCATTGCAAGCTTGATCTCCCATCGGAGTATCGTTATCAAGTCCATTGTAGATTGGTAGACATTGTGCATGAACGGCTCCCGATGTCACTATTATCCTAGAGCTGCCCAAGAGATAACTATCATCCTTGAATGGCCCACAAGTTTAGCTGGCCATCTTCCAATTGGTTTAATGGGTAAGTATCCTAGAACCCGACTGTCCTAGCCTGTCGGTGACCGGGGTGGCATTTCTCAGCTCTGAAATTCATCTTATCATATGTCTTTACACATCATTCATCGAAGAAAAACATGAAAATTTTTACAGTTCCTTACCATTGACCCTGGGACCTTCGGTTTCCAAGCATACATCATAAACCACTAGGCCACCCATTAAATTTAAAAAAAAATTATCATATATATTTTGAACGAACGTGAACGCGTTCCTTTTTTTGAACATGAACGCGTTAGATTTTTGTTAATGAACGTTGAACGCGCTCGATTTTTTAGAAATGTTTATAGCACTAGTATTTATTATAAAAATATTGGTATTGATAGTGCTTTTAAACCAATATATAATTTTTATTGAAATATTAATCAGCTATTAATATTGGCACTGAGTGTATTGGTATAAAAACCAATACAATATCTGATTTTATATTGGTTTTGAAAACAACGAAATTGCCATTGTTGCCAGCACTTTGGTATTGACACTAAAGATTTGCAATGCTTGGCCCGGTACCCGGCCCACAAAAAGTTTGGACAGGGCCAAGCAAAAAAATTAACGGGCTGGGCGACTTATAGAAAAAAGAAATGAAATTATTCGAAAGCCTAATGTGCTAGGTTTTTTATAAAAGAAAATTGTAAAAATGCCCAGCAACTGTGCATCATTAGTTAAATAATATATTAAAACCAAGTAAAAGCGAATTAAAAAGTACTGTTGGAAGTTGACATAATGACAGATTTTTATCATTTTTACTTTATTTCTATGGTGCCGACTATATGGGGATGGTGTGCTCACGACATATATAAATATTCTATAAAATAAATATAATTGGCCTATTAATTTTTTAAACATCAAATTTTCTTAGAAAAATTTATATCTCCATAAAATTTTTTTTCCTCTGTTATATTTATGCATACAGTGTGGTTCAGCACCAGCAAGTAGTGGTGATAAGTGTCTCTATTTTTAGCAATTTTTGGGCCAACTCTAAAATGGCTAATCAAAATTTTTAAGTGAAAACTTTCATAATAGCCTCGATCGGGGTTTAAACAAGGATAGCTCAATCATAAAAAAAATTAACTGATGCCTCAAGGCTTACCAAATTTTTACAAATATTAGGATTGAGCCGGTTTAACAACCCCAAATAATTAAGTTGTAATCAATCTATTTTTAAAGAAATAATAAATTGGGATATTTTTTATTAGGTTTTTTGGTGTCCATTTGCCAATGAATCATTTTTATTGATTAAATGATGATACTTTAAAATAAACTATATCCCTGTTCTTAATGAAATGTTTAAAAATTTTATTAACTATATGAATACTTTATCCTGCAGTACTGCCGAGGGTATAAGGGGCTTTGATCTTATAAATTTGATTAAGTTAGATAATTGAGAAAATTTATGAGTAAATAATATGCCAAATTTAAAGTTCATAAATATTAACAGACCTTTTATATAGTAATGGATTCCAGATCCATATATCAAAGTATGAATAGGGAATCATTGTGGAGCAAATGAAATCTTTCCAATAAAAATAACTGTGATTTATGCAAAAAAAATTCAAAAATTATTGCCCCTCCACTCCTCCCCCTCTACCAAAATCTCAAGCAATATCACGACAAGATACAAATTTAGAAAGCTAGGCTCGACAAAAATAGACCTGATTTGCCATTTTCAGAACTTTAATTAGCATTGAGTGGTATTGGGATTAAATACCAATACAATATCTGATTATATATTGGTATTGAGAACCAAGAAAATATTGATATTGTTGATAGCACTCATTTAATAGCATAAAATGGGTCCCTATGTAAACTTTCCAAAAGCCCCTGATATAAAAAAAAACTGTCGCCTTAAGTCGTTATTACCCCTTTAACTTAATTTTTTCAACAGCCCCCACCCCTTCAACATAGTATGGCTATCATTGAACAACCCTAACTGTTATACTGTGTTGGTTAAAAGGGTATATTTTGGTATTAAATATTGTATATGCTACATATTTAAATTATTTATAGTATATCACCTAACATGTCTTCAGATACAGGAATCTTTAAAATATCTCCTGAAAATTCACTTTTGGTATTTTTGGCATCTATACCAGATGTTCCTTCAAACACTTGAACAACTGCTTTATTACCTGAAACTTCAAGAACTTGCCCACTTCTTTGGGTTCCATCTGGCAATGTCAAATAAACAATTTCAGCAAATTTTGGAAACTATAAAATTTGTTGTGTGTAAAAATAAAATTTATTGATTACTTTAACATTATCTAAAATGACTAAGGGTCCATTAACACCAGTAACAGTCTTGTAAGCTTGGTAATATAAATTTATACATTTTTACACTAATTTATACTAATTCTTGGGGATATTTTATAATTCCTAGCAACAGCTAAGGCATGTTCACGTGCTGCTTCTGAGGAAGATAGAGTGTTCCCTGTTGAATTTTCTTTATTATTAGTTAATTGAGTCATAGCTTAAATTAAATTATCAAATGATAAGGTTTATAATTAACTCTTAATAAACAAGGTCAATATGTAAAGGCTCAAAGCGATAACCTTAAAAAGTTTAAAAATTTAATTAAAAGTATAATATTACCAATAAAACAATGTCTAAACACGTGACTTTAAACATATGTTATATTTATCGATATTATATTAATTTATTTATGGGTGTAGGTAGTGTTCTTAAACCTCTCGATTTGAGCCGATTTTTAAAAACATACATCTCAATATTTTATAGAAAAGTATTACCCAAGCCTGAAAATTTACTCATAGGTGGTACAATGATTTAAAATATTGAGTGAGCCGCACAGGCGTACCTGGAGGGGTGGGGGGCAAGGGGAAATCCCCCCCCCCTTCAGAAATTTATCCCTTTTTGGGAATATCATTTTAAGCTAATAAAAAATATCCCCCTTAGTCCTCTCCCCACTTCCTGACCCCAAAAATATATGCATATATCAAACAATAATTTGAAAGAAAGAATGTAAAAGTTAAATTTTTTAAACTAAAACTATTCATCATAATTTATAAATTTTTGGAAAAAAGCATTAGTAAACCAAAAAGGGTTTTAAGAAATGGAATATAAGCAGAGTTGTTAAAAGATCGAATCAAACGATCGACGATCCTGGATTCGATCGCAAATTTGTCAATTTTACGAGATTTATGATTTTGACTTAAATTGAGGATCGAGATCGATATCATTTTGTTTAAAATTCGATCCCGATTATTTTTTAAATTAATTTTTTACTTAAAAAGCAATAAATAAAATAAAAATTTTGAAAATTAAATTAAAATATTTAAAAAAATATATATCTTCATATTTTATCAACTTCCATTCCACCATTTATTTTATAGATATATTTATTCATTTCCTAAATTTTACGAGATTTAGAGCTCTTACAAGTTATTTAATATAAATTTATAATAATATATTAATATTTATTTTAATAGGTAAATGTAAATGTCCATTATAGATTTAGAAGATTCTATTGCTTCTACTATTGATGTAACAGCAGATATAAGTGACAATGAGAATCTTTTACCATTTTTGAAATTACGTAAGTATTTTACTTTATGATGAAAGCAACTCTTATAATATGATCAGCACCAAATGCCGTCTCTGTAAGAAGATAATATCATCTTCCAAAATATCATCTTCGAACTTAAAGAGACATTTACAAGTAATTCTTTTAAATTTTCTTTATTTGATGATCTTAATGTCAACATGTTTAAATTTAATTTATTACATTCCTGAGTTGAGCAGGTCCTACAGAAATAGAATCTAGATACAGATTCTTTATAAAAAAAATGAATTATTAGATACAGTATAATTAATAAAATATTTGATGAAGAGTTAATCTTGGTTTTGTTATTTATATAGAATAATTAGGCATTTATTTTTTAATATTACTATTATATTAGTTTAATTTTCAAAAGAAGAGTATTTATAATAAATGTAAGTGTAATAACTAATAATTAAAATGTATTTTGACTTTCTTTATTATAATTAAAACATATTCAATGTTATTTGTATTGAACTAAGCAATGTTTCACCAAAAGAAAAATAAATATCTATTCTATTATTTCTTTACTATAATATGTTAAATCTAATCAATTAGTATTATATTTTCAGTTTGAGCTTGATTATATAATCCTCTTGACAACATTTTTAGGGCTTTTTTTATTAATATATTTTGAATTGAAAGTATTATTTGACTCAATCCATAAGTTCTTAAATGCCAAAAAGCCTCATTATATTCATAATAGGAAAATACTTTATCAAAATCTTTGGCCCATATCATCTTGGGCAACTTTTAATAATGATAGACAATATTGTAAACTTAAATTTTTGAGATAACCTACCCCCTTTTAACCACTAATAACATACTTTAATATATTTAACAAAATTTGTTGAACCCTTTATCATTTTTTTGTTTATATAGGTTTTACATTCAGCCTGTACATTGTTTTTTTTAACTTTAAATTTCCATATAAAATTTTGAAAATGAAATTTGATTCAAGAGAAGTTATTTTTATCTTTTATAAAGATAAAGGACAGTGAATTTAAAAATGAGATTACCAAACACCTCAACGAATTCTCTACACAAAAAAATATATCACTGCAAAACCAAAGTGGTTCTGGTTGCAAATCCAGACAATCTAAATTAAATTTTAACAATCTAAGCATTCCAGTTGTATCGCAAAAAACAGCAGACAAGGTTATTATAGATTTTATTATTGACACCTTCCAACCACTGTCTCTGGTTGATGATCCTTCATTTGAAAAAATGATTAAACTTTTTCTCCTGCGACAAAAATTATTTGTCGCCAAACACTGGGCAACAGGATATCTACTTCCTTCTCTTGTCTGAAGTTTCTTATGTATGCATTACTGCTGATTGTTGGAGTGGTCATCGAAGGTATATTATATTTATATGAATTTTATAATGTTTATTTTATTAGGGCTTTTATTGGACTTACTGCACATTGGCAGGATCCGTTAACCCTCAAGAGAAGGTCAGCCGCTTTGGCACTGAGGAGGATAATTGGGAGGCAAACGTATGATGTTTTGGCCAATAAAATCATGGGTATCCACAAGTTCTATAAAATTCATAAAAAGGTGGTGAAGATGGTGACTGACAATGGAACCAACTTTGTCAAGGCATTTAAGTAATATTTATATTTAGCAAAAAATATTTAAATAAATTTATTTTTTCTAGAGTTTTTGGAGAAAATGAAGAAGATATTAGTGAGGATATGGAATTGATAAATTTGGATGACATATTATCCGTTGATGACCCAATTATTCCTACTATCAGCCTACCAAAACATCAACTTTGTTGCCATAATCTTAACCTTATTGCAACAACAGATGCGGAGATGGCAGATAGTGATCTCAATTATAAACGAATATCTAGATCCACTTTTGCAAAATGTTTTGCTTTAGTTAATAAACAAAATATGTCGTCAAAAATGGCGGATATTTTATTGGAGAAATTGGGAAGATATTTAATAGCTCCCAACAAGACAAGATGGAATTCTTATTACCAATCCATGAAATTAATAGATAAGATGCTTTCTGAAAAGTTTTCAGAAGTAGAACAAGTATGTGATCAAATTGGATTTGCAATGTTTAGGCAAGAGGAATGTTTTTTTGTTAAAGAGTATGCAACAGTAATACAATGATATTCTCTAAATAAATTTAAATTTTATAGGTTATGGAACCTTTGGCGATCTCGTTAAAAATCTTGGAATGGGAGGATAATATGGAGCAGGGATATCTAACTCGCGTTCTATCGATATTGATAGATAAATTAACGAAATTTAGCTGCCTGCGGTATTGTCAGCCCCTTGTAAATAGTGTTCTTAGAGGTATTGATAAAAGGTAATATTTTTTTATGCAATTATTTTATATTATCAGATATCTGCAAAATATATTAAAAAATTGCAAAGATCTGGCAAATTTAGTAAAATATTTTTAACAGGCCAGTTCTACTAAACCTCTGATATCTTGTAAAATATTAATGGGCCTTTGAAGACATTAAAAATTTATTAGATTATTTGAATTTTAAGCTGATATTTTGATTAATATTCTTTGTAAATAATTTACAATGTTAATTTCTTTGTATATTAAGTATTAAGTTTACATTTAATCAATATTTATGATATGACCCAAATATAAATAAATACCATACTGATGATGTGCCAGACTTGACTGTAAAATTTAAAAGGGTTAGGTTTTGCAGATACTTGATTTGATTTATATGAAAATGAACACTTATTTAATAATAAATTAATTATCATTTCATAATATAGATTTCCTTCACTGTATGAAGACAGTAACATTTTGGCAGCCATGATTCACCCTAAATTTAAACTTAATTGGCCTTATATTAATCTGCCACAAAATATGATGGTAAAAGAAAGATTAGTTGCCCATTTGGAAAATATGCAGGAACAACCATATGCGGATACCTCAAATGAATGTATGGATGACATTGATGCTTTTTGCGGGAAAAATACTGTACAAAATGCTAGTTCCGTTAAAAATTTTTTTTATTCAAATGATGATTCCATGAATATTTTTAATACTTATATTAATTTAAAAAAAATATTTATTGAATATAATACACCTTTGCCATCAAACGCTCCTGTGGAGCGCTTGTTTTGTAAAGCTAAACATGTTCTAAATGAAAGACGCGGATGTTTAAATGATGATAATTTAGAAAAAAATTTATTATTAAAAGCTAATTTTAATTATAAATAAATATATAATTGTTATATTTATTATTCAATTACAATAAATTTCTACCATATTTAATTTATTTTTATATTAGTTAATTTTGCATCGGTTATATTATATTATTATTCAATTACAATAAATTTATAACATATATTAGTTAATTTTGCATCGGTCAGAAATTTCCTTCTCTTTTTTTGAAAAGATCGTGATGATCGTTTTAAAAAGATCGGTTAACAAGCCTGAATATAAGCCAAAGATAAGTCTTAAGACAAAAGTAAGATTTATTATAATTATTGATAATAGATCCATAAAATTACTAAATAATATAATATATCAAATATAATTTTTTATATAGTGAGTAATTTTAATTTATTTATCTTAATAAAAGTAAAATATAATTATAAAACTATTGATAAAATTAAATCATGAATTAAATAAAAAAAAATTAAAGCACAATACAAACAGTGGAATATTATATGTCGTAGATTTACAGTATATCTAATTTTATCAATTATCATATGACAATCAGAGTTGGGCAGGTCCTCTTGAAAAAGAATCTAAATACAGATACAGATTCTTTGTGAAAAAATGAATCTTAGATACAGATACTAGTATCTTTTTCAAAATATCAAAAAGATACAAGATAAAAGATACTTGTATCTTTTACTTAATTAGAGTATCTTAAATACAAGATACTTTTAAATTATCATTATCAATTAAATCAGAATAGCTTATAAAATACAGTTTTTACTATTTATTTGTGAAGAACATAACATACACATATAATAAGAATGAATGTTTACAATAATTAATAAAACATTTAATGATGAGTTATTTATAATAATCAGAC